GGCTTACTCACGGGTGTCTGGGTGTGGAGAAACTTACAGAAACATGAATCGGGGATTACTTACAGGGCCCGAGAACATGACATGACAGTGAGTGCCGTCAACTTCACAGAACCTGGAATCACCTAGAGACCCACCTCTAGGCATTCCTGGGAGGGACTGCCTTTGTTTTTTGTTTTCTTTTGTTTTTTCAAGACAGGGTTTCTCTGTGTAGCCCTTTCTGTCCTGGAACTCACTGGGTAGCCCAGGCTGGCCTTGAACTCACAGAGATCCTCCTGCCACTGCCTCCCAAGTGCTGGATTAAAGGTGAGCACCACCATTGCCCAGCTCGGGTGGGAGGGGGAACTGTCTTGATGATATTCTCTGAGGAAGAAAACCTCAGTGACTACCAAGGAGAATAAACCATTTCTAAGCTGGGATCCTGCACTGTATAAAAAGGGGAAACAGTTGGGTGGTGGTGGCGTACGCCTTTAATCCCAGCACTCGGGAGGCAGAGCCAGGTGGATCTCTGTGAGTTCGAGGCCAGCCTGGGCTACAGAGTGAGTTCCAGGAAAGGTACAAAAGCTACACAGAGAAACCCTGTCTTGAAAAACCAAAAAAAAGGGGGGGGGGGACAAAGCCAGACCCAACCCCTGCCGCTCTGCTTCCTGACTGCAGTGTGGCGCCTACTCCAAGCTCTTGCCTTGACTTCCCCACAGTGAGGGACTGGACGCTGAACTTTGAGTGAAACACTTTCCCCTTGGGTTGCTTTTGTTGGGAGGTTTTGTTGTTGGTTGTTTTTTTTTTTTTTTAATCACAGTGACTATTTGCATACAACATGTTTTCCAAAACAGTGCTGTGTTGAGGATGGTCCCAACTGAGAAGCTGATTGTGGGGGTGCTGGCCTCCTCGAGGGGTTCACCACCGGGAACCTGATAGGGGGTGCTGGCCTCCTCGAGGGGTTCACCACCGGGAACCTGATAGGGGGTGCTGGCCTCCTCGAGGGGTTCACCACCGGGTGAACTCAAACCTAGAAAGACTGTGCCACTCAGAGGCTACGTGAGGCGGCACCAGGGCTGTGTCTCTAAAAGACATGTCCTTTCCCTGTCCCTTCCTCCCACAAGCTGAGTGACTTAAACGACAGAAATGTGTCCTGCGCTCACTCTGGAGCTGACAGCAGGCTGCGACCTCAGACACCTGTAGGGAATCCTTCCTGTCTCTTCCTCACTGACAGGCTTCACCCCCGCCTTCCCCTTCCTGTTGCCCCTTCCGTCTCTGGTCTCTGCCTGTCCGTCTCTGTCCTGACGGCCTCCTTATGAAAGGACATTGATCACAGGATTAGGGCCTTCCCTGATGATGTGGGTGTCGCTCCCAGGACCTGGGAGTTCCGGCTTAGACGCCCTCACGGGAGACTTGGAGCCACAAGCCAGTGAGTATGTGAGTTTGCCTCTCTGGGCTTCCGCTTTCCCACCTGAGGACAAATGGTTGTACTCTCCTTCTTGGAATTCACGAGAGGATTTTTGTCAGTTTCAGTAAGCCAAAAGTCCACGACTGTCACACAGCCCTCAGGGCGTTCAGTGTGGACAGCTGCACCTGAGGCAGGGCACCTCACCGCCCCTCCACCACCCCATGTCCCCATATGAGCCACGCCATGTGACAGCCCAGAGCCCTTCTTCTAGCTGGCTGCTGCTGGCGCTGGCTCCCAGCTATATTTAGCCTGAGGAACTCGAACGAGAAGCTCTCAGCTCCACGGTGCCAAGAGGAACGCAGAGCCATGTGCCTTCTGTCCAGCATATTCCAGTGACTCTTTCCTTCTTCAGAGTCCTTCAGAGCAAAGCACTGGGGTGCCAGGCTTGGCAGAACAGGCTGTGGACTGGGGTCTCGGCTATTCATTTTCTCCAGAATCCTGTCTGTGGCCGTGATTAAAAGTGACTTTTTGTTTTAATTATTTGAGTAAATACATTAACAATAGATATATCTAATTCTGCAATATTATTTTCTCACATTGCAGAAGATGGAACTCAGCGTCTTATGCAGGCCAGTGCTCTTCTAAGTACTCCCAGCCCTGTTTTAACTTTGTTACTTTTTAGACAGGGTCTCATATTCGGTCTGGCTTGCCTGGAATTCTCTGTGTAGACCAGGCTGGGATTGAAGCAGGTGGTTAGTCTTTGAGACAGTCTGTGCTGCCTAGGTTGACCTTGCACTCTTAGGCTCAAGTCTTCCTGCGTCAGCTTCCAGTGTAGCTGGGGTCACAGGTACCTTCACACCATAGTTAGTTAGCCTCTTCTTAGTTAGTTAGCCTCTTCTTAGTTAGTTAGCCTCTTCTCTTAGTTAGTTAGCCTCTTCTTTGCGTTCATGCTGTTTGGCTACAGAGTGTTACATGCTATTGTGTGACACTGTTCATGGAGAGATGTAAACAAACATCTACCCACTTCAGATAGCGATCCAAAGTCCAGACACCATCGAAGTTCAGTTTGGTGAGCCAGTGAGTTTTACTGGGGTTACTTACAGGAGTGTGGGTGAGAGGTTACTTAAAGGGACAAAAATGACTCAAAGGCAGCTGTGCCTCCAAAGCCCACCCCAGCGACGGTGACAGCTCACAAAAGCTGGAGGTCAACAGGTAGAGAACTCTCTCAGGCGGCTCAGTGATCTGAATCTCTCCCAAGCGACTTGTCTGATCTCCAGACAGCTCAGCGTGTCTGCAAGTCTGTCCACAGCCTTTATATACACTTGGGGAGAGAAGGGCCTCGTGAATCTGGTCGGTTTCTGGAGTTTCCTAAAGCCTTTGAGTTGTTTACTTCCTGAAGTTAAGGAGCTTCCCTGCAAGGGGGAATGTTTCACCTCCCCTTAGAACATCCTGTGTCTATTAAGAAACTTCCCTCTGAAGTGGCTGATTTTATCTTAGAAGAATATACAACATGTATATTCTGTGTCTGGCTAGGAGTCACACATGCATGTTTTCTGTGTGTGGAAATTTTCACTTGGTGTTGTTCAGGTTCCTATGGCAGCCTGTCATCAGACAAAACTCCACACCTGTACACTGCCTCCTGCCAATAATGTTCTAGATTTTTCACAGCTTGGGGCATTCTTCTGGTGTTCACTGTGAGCATTCTTGGACATGTGTGGGTGAACATAGCTTCACATTTCCATTGGGTAACCATCTGGGAGTGGTGTGGCTAGGGCTTGCTGATGCACCCATCAGTTTGAGTAGAAACTGCTATTTCTCAGAGTGCTCTGTCCTCTCAAAATTTGTCATCTTGGTGTGCTGGTGCCTAGCTGTCATCCCAGGCAGCAAGATCAAGGATTAGTAGTCAGCCTGGACTCCATTATGACACTCTTCCCAAGGAAACAAACAGGTCTGGGTGTGTGATTCAGTTCTAGGGTTCTTGTGTCACATGCACAGGCACTAGGCTTCATCCCCAGCACCACAAAAACAAAAGCAAACAATGACCAGCCATAGTGAAAATCTTACCACCACCACCCCCAATAGCTCAGAATGTGTCTTGATTTGGAAGTAGTCACTGCACAGGTAATTCACTGCATTGGAGTCAGCAGATGCCCCTAAACCGATAGGACTGATGTCTGTTTGAAAAGGGTAAATACAGCCACAGACACACAGAGGAAGCAGGCCACGTTAAAATGAAGGCGGAGTTGGAGGTGGGTGACACAAGATGGCCAGAAAAGTACCAGATGCCTGGAGAGAGACAGGAAACAGATCCTCCCCCAGCCTTCAGAATAACCAACCATGCCCACAAATTGACCTTAGAATTCCACCCTGCAGACCTGTGAGATAAATTTCCATTTTTAAAGTCATCCAATTTGTGACTTTTGTTACAGCAGCTGCAGGGCACTAATATATTATAGTCCCTTATGTCAGCAGGACCTGAAAGTTCCAGTTGGTCCACAGCCTCACCAGTGACTGTGATGTCATTTTAGCTATTCTCCTATAATATTTGTGCTTACTTATAAAGATGAGCTTTTAAAGCCACACTTAATGGCCCCCACATTTCCCAAGTGCTACAGGTGTTCAACCACTGGGAGGATCCACCATCCCTAGACTGTAGGAGAATCTTCTCCAGGACACAGGTCAGGTCCAAAGCTTTGGATATTCAAAACCCACATCTGGCACTCTGTGACTCTAGGGTGGTTGTTTGTCTTTCTCAGTCTTCATTTCATATAAAAAAAAATGCACATGGTGACTACACAGGGCCTCTTGAAGAGGAGACAAGTGAATTAATATAGGTGATATATTTAGAGGAGGGCAGGCACATAGTAAATGCTCACTTAGTGCTCATACCACTCATTCCCTACAGCCAACTCTCCCCTTTCCCTCTCATCTGCCTCCTTCCCTCCCTTCTTCATCCTCTTCATTTTCTGTCTTCATCTTCTTTTCCTCTTATTCTCCTCTTTCAGTTTTCTGTTCTCCACTTCCAGAGTATTCTATCTGCGACTCCTCCTCCCTGCAGAATTAGCTGGGCACTTCCTAGAGATGGTTTTGTGTTGTTCTGATTCTCATCACATTCCAGGGAGTGGAGGAGATACTTGAGGAATAGGCTTGTGGCTCTGGATTCATCAGACCATGAGACTCTGTAGCCACGTGTGTCCTCTAAGGGGAAATGGTGACTGTGTAAAGACAAGTGTGGGATCTAGGGATTCATCCTGTCTACATTTCAGTGGTTGTGTGTGTGTGTGTGTGTGTGTGTGTGTGTGTGTGTGTGTGTGTGTGGTGTGTTTCTCATTTCAGACTCAGGTCCAAAATCCTCTTAGGCATCACCTCGGCTCCCAGACGCCTTGAGAACTGTGTGTGACATGAGAGAGCTTTGCCCCCTGGCGGTGCCTTGGTGATACTCCCGCCATCTAAACTTTACTCTCTATGTCCCTCACTTGGCTTCCAGAGTACCAGGGTTCCACAAGAACATTTGAGACAAAATCACAGGAGACGTGAAGCTAACCCTATTCCTCTTCCTCTGTCCCACCTGGGCCCATCTCCCATTTCACATGGTTTCCCTCTTTGCACTCTGCAGAGCAACGATGCCTCAGGGAACACTTGGAACTGGTTGTACTTCATCCCCCTCATCATCATCGGCTCCTTTTTTATGCTGAACCTTGTGCTGGGTGTGCTGTCTGGGTAAGTCTCTGCCACTCCGCCCTCCATCCCACTCTTCCTTTCTGGTCTTCAGTCAGCAAGACTCTCACTAGCAAGCCAGCTGCATGGATTGTATACTGCGAGGGTCAACCAATGAGGAAGCTCTTGTGAGTTTTATAAAATCAATATTTTGGGGGGCTGGAGAGATGGCTCAGTGTTTGAGAACACTGGCTACTCATCCAGAGGACCCAGGTTCAGGTCTCAGCACCCACATGGCTGGCTGATAGCTGTCTGTAACTTCAGATTCGGGGAATTCAACACACTCTTCTGGCCTCCGTGGGTACTGTATACTTGTACACAGACATACATTCAGGCAAAATATCAATACACATAGAATAAAAATAAATAAATATAAGAAAGAATAATTTAAAAAAAAACAGTACTTGGGGTTTCTTCTTTCACGATAATAATCGCAGCACACAAACCATGTGTGGTGGCACAGGTTTGTAATCCCAGCATAGGCAGCTAAGGCAAGAGGATCATGGGATCCAGGTTGTCCTGGGCTTTAGAACAAAACACTGCCTCAAAAAAATAAATTAATAAGTGGAGAAATGGCTCAGTGGTTAAGAGCACCGGCTGATCTTCCAAAGGACCCAGGTTAACCCAGATGCCATTAACAACCATCTTTAACTCTAGTTCCAGGGAATCCAACAACTTTTGACCTCCAGTTACCAGGCACATACATAGTACACAGACATACATGCAAGCAAAGCACCCATACACATAAAATGCAAATAAAATAAATATTTAAAAAATAAATAAAATAAATAGCAAGCTATGAAGCTATGGGTGTTGACTCACACATATAATTCCAGCACTCAGGAAGTTGAGACAGGAGAATTGCCACAAATTTACTTCATAGTCAGTTCCAGGCCAAACTGGGTTACAGAGTGAGACTCTGTCTCATAAAAACCAAACAATGACAAATATATATATATATATATATATATATATATATATATATATATATATATGCATTATATTTATATATATATATAAACATGCATTTTCCTTGGGACTGGAGAGAAGACCCAGCAGTCAAGCTTCCTTACCGATAGGCTGGTCATGTTGATGCACGTCTTTGATCCCAGTACTCTGGAGGCAAAAGCAAGTAGATCTCTGAGAGTTAAGGCCGGACTGGTACACATGATGAGACCCTGTCTCAAAAAAGGGAGGGTGCTGGAGAGAGAACTCAGCAGTTAAGGACATGGGCTTGGTTCCCATCACCTATATGACTCACAACCATCCAGAACGAGTTCCCAGAGGTCTGATGTCCTATTCTGACCTCCTCCGGCACCAGGCACATACCTGATGCTCATATGTACATGCAGGCAAAACACTCATGCACATAAGTCTAAAACATAAAGAATGATTACTGCTGTTGCAGAGGACCCAAGTTCAGTTTCCAGTGTCCACACGGGGCAGCTTGGTTACCCATAGCTCCAGCTGTAGGGAATCTGACACCCTCTTCTAGACTCCAAGGGCATCTGCACAAGCCTGGTACACACACACACACACACACACACACACACACACACACACACATAAATAAATAAATAAAAATTATAAATAAGTATGTTACATTCTCCTAACACAATGGTCCCCAAATCCCAAAATTACTTTAATTTAAAAACCTTAATTATAAATAGACTTTGTATTTCTCACCAAAGAAGTGTGGGAGCTCCTGATGTAGCTCCATGCTGCCAGTAGCAACCTTGGATTCTTCCAGGTTTCTGCTCTGACATCCTTACCTAAGGCTCTTGTTGGCAGATAGTTGATGTCTCCAGATGACTGCCTGATACTCACAAGATGGCTTCCCTGTGGTCCACAGAGGAGAAAGGAGAGCTGCTGACAGAAAGAGGGCTGGACGGGTTTAGCAGAGCGTTCTGCGGGAGGGAATCGGATGCAGATGTGTGGGGAGGTTGCGAAGTGTGTGCACTGTCAGAAATAGCCAGCCCTGAAAGACTGGGATTGCCTCCCCGAGGACTGATTCTGTGTTGAGAACCACTGCCCCTCACCGAACCGCCAAACACACGTGGCCTCTTAAATTTTTCCTGACAACAGAATCTGTTTTTGGTTTTTTTGGCAGGGGAGTCAAGAGAGTGGTGTTTTGTTTTTCGGTTTTTGTTTGTTTGTTTGTTTTTTCAGTTTGTTTGTTTTTACTAGTTTTTTTTTTTAAAGATTTATTTATTTATTATGTATACAGAGGAGGGTGCCAGATCTCATTACAGATGGTTGTGAGCCACCATGTGGTTGCTGGGAA